CAGACATTTCTCAAAAAGAGGACATACAAGCAACCAATGAACACATGAAAGAATGCTCAGCCTCAGTAAGCATTAGAGAAAGTCCAATTAAAATTACAATGAGATGCTATCTAACACTAGTAAGGATGGCTGTCATGAATAAGTCAAAAAGCAACACAGCTGCAGAGAAGAGGGGACACTTCTACACTATTGGTGGGAACATAAACTCATTCAACCTTTATATAAAGCAGTGTGGTGATCCCTCAAAGAAATAAAAATTGAGCTTCCATATGATCCAGCAATCTCCCTCATGGGAATATTCCCAGAGGAAACATATACAGCTCTACAAAAAAGACACCTGCATATGTATGTTTACTGAAGCACTATTCATAACAGTAAAAACATGTAACTAACCCACATGCGCATCAAAAGTGGACTAGATAAAGATAACATGGTACATATACACAATGGAATATTAAGCAGCCATAAAGAACAACATCTTGGACTTCAGCAGCTACTTGGATGCAGCAGGAGACTACCATACTAAGCAAACTACCGCAGAATTAAAGAACTAAATACTGCATGTTCTCACTCATAAGAAGGCCCTGAACACTAGCCACACCAGCACAAGGGTGAGATCAGCAGACATTGGACACTTCCAGGAGAGGGATAAGAGAGAGGGGCACGTGACAACACGCTGGGTACCTGGTCCATTATCGGGGAGAGAAAGCCAGTTAGAAGCCCAAACTTTACCTGCATGAAACCTGCTTACGTAGTAAATTCCCACTTGTACCTCACAACCCCCTAAAATGTTCATATATTCATTGGTTTGTTTCTAGACTCTGTTCCATTCATCTAGAATCTTAAGTACATATAATTTGCCTAGAAATGTTGATTGCAATGATGATCCTCGTCTTGTTCCTAATCTCAAAGAAAAACTATCAACATCCCGCCATTAAGTAAAATGCTTGATATAGCTTGGTTGTATATTTTTACAAATGCATATTTAATGTACATGGATTTAGGTATAGATATTGATGTATATACTTAAGGAAGTTCACTCTTTCTGGTTTTCTAAGAGTTACCAAAATGAAATTTGAATTTTATCAAAAAGCTTTTCCCACATCTGTTGAGATAATCATGCTATTTTTTCTGCGTTTACTCTACTAATGTGGTGAGCCACATTGATTTCTAATGTTAACCAGCCAATGCTGCATTCTTAGATTTTCACCCAACTTAGTCATAACACATTATGTTCTTTATAAAAAGACATTGCTAGTATCATTAAGAATTTTTATAACCTATATTCATGACTGAGTTGGAAAAATTATACAACAATCTCTTCCAACTGAACTTCACAAGGTTGAACTAATACTAGAGTTCTTCTCATCCCCTACCCCATTTTCTGAAAGCGGTTGTGCAAGACTGAAATTAGTTCTTCCTTTAATGTTTGACAGAACTTGATTTCTACCTATATGGAGCTTTTTAATCCAATTTCTTAATGGTTATTGTGACTATTCAGGTATTTCATTTCTCTAAAAATAATTTTAGTAAGTTGTATTTAATAAGAATTTCTCTATTTCATCTGGACTTTTCAATATATAAGCATATAAAAGTTCACAGTATACTCTTATATGCATAATATGTGCTCAATCTATAGTTGTATCCTTTTTCATTTCTCATACTGGTAGCTGAGTCTCCTCTCTCTTTTTCCTTATCAATCTTACCACGGGCTTATCTAATTTTATTAATCTTTTTCAAAGAATCGATTTTGGGCTTTACTGATTCTCTCTAGTGTGTATTCAATTGTATTAATTCCTACTCTTACCTTTATTATAGTCGTCTTTTTCCTTTTAGGTAATTTATTTTGCTTTTCTTTTTGAACTTAAGAAGGATATTTAGTATATTAATTTGGAATTTCTCTTCAGTTTCTAAAATATGTATAGAAGGCTTTATATTGCCCTCTAACCACTATTTTAGCTGTAGTCCACAAATTTCAATATGCGATGCTTTAATAATCATTCAGGTTAAGCATTTTTTCAGTTTCCATTTTGATTTCTTCTTTGATCTACAGGGCATTTAAAAATATATTCCTGAATTTTAAATACAGCAGAATTTTATGTTAGATGTAAATTTTACATTAGATGATCTCTCCTGCTTACTTTCTCCTGCTACTGCAATGGAGTATTATTATTATGAATAAATCAGCACTCTGTCCTTAAACTCTAATTTGTTCATAAAATACAAGTACTATCATCATTGATAAGGTGTAATATTTTAATATACTTTGTAATAAACCTGGCTAATTAATGTTTAATACAACAAAGCAAATTTTATGTTGCTTCAGTCTTGTTAAAATGAAATGATATATATACATCTACAAATGCAAATTTAATCAGTATCAACAAAATAAATAGAGAATTACTACATTAATACTAGCTATACTAGACACAGCCAAGAACCAAGAAATTATGCAGCAAAAAAATCTCTGGGAAGTAAAAAATATACTTTAAAAAATCTATACACTAAAGCTTATAGTCTATAGGTGTTTATAAATGCTTTTTCTCCCTCAAAGCCTATTTATTCCAATTGTTAGGTACTGTTCCCAGAGATTGGTAAAATGAGCATATCTAGAAGTAGTAGTTGAGATTATGAGAAGAGACAGATCATTAGATATAAACAAAGCAAAAATCACATTGCATCATGATGTTAAAATGAGTACATGAACAGGAGTATTATTTCCATATAATAGCAAATCAAAAAAGAAAAGGATATATATATACGAGGGTACCAAAAAAATGTATACACATTTGCAAACACACTTAAAATGTGAATACTTTTTTTGGCACCCCATCTAAACACATACACACGCACGCGCGTATTTATTTATTTTTATTTATTTATTTATTTTTTTTTTTTAAAGAGATGAGGTCTTACAATGTTTCCCAGGCTGGTCTTGAACTACTGTGCCTAAAGGATCCTCCCACCTCAGCCTCCCAAAGTACTGGGATTACAGGTGTGAGCCACCCTGCCCAGCCTGATACATTTCTTACGGTAGAACTGACAGAATAAGAGAAATTTTCCTAGAGAAAACTAAAATGAAAAAGAAGGGTCGTGCTTAAAGTGGTAAGACAAAATTATTTTAAAAAATCATTGATATAGAACAAATGTTTCCTTCCTGAATGATGTCAGATAAAAGCAAATAAATGCATATAAGACATTTTTTTCAGTACCATAAAATATCTCAGAAGAAATTAAATATATTTTTTACTTTTAACATAAATACATAACAAAAATCCACTTCTTTGAAGTACTTAATTCTACTCTATTTCTTAGCTGGTAATATAAAGCAGATATTTTGGAGAGCTTTTTATCACGGCTGGTTGTATTATGATTTTCTCTATTTCAAGAATTAGGGGGGGAAAAGCAAACCATTTACTTCTCTATTTTAAAACATCAATCCAAGATGACTTTCAATAAATTCTTTGACAAGATAAACTGACAATTTTGCCTTTAATTGACTAATTAAGTAAACATCAGACTTAAAAAGTGAAGTTTTCTATTGCTCATCAAGGTCACATGGTTATTCTCTAATACTAAGTAGTCTCGTAGCATGAAGGTCGGCAAACAGTATGTGTTGGCAAGCTTGTTGGCTTAGAAAAAACAAACAAACAAGGAGACAGAGACAAATACAGAAATAGCACTAAGTCTCACTGTGAAAACAAAGACAATATTTAACATTAAAAAACTTAAATATACTGTATTGCAAAGCCACTTCTGAATAATGGCAAACACTAAAATGTACACCATTCAAAACACATAGAAAAAGCATGATAGTAACCATGTTATGCTAAGAAGACTCAACACGGATTACAATGCTATTTAAAGCTTATGCTACTTAGGCATCAGTTAGGACTAAAGCTTCCAATTCTTTTGTGAAATGTCAGAAAACAAAATCTGTGAATTTCTAATAATTTATTTAATTGACCAGGTGAACACTTTCAATAAGGTGTTTCACTATCTCAAAAGAATGTATAAACCCCCTATCAGCAGGTATATTCCAAAAAGCCAAGATAAAGGTTAGTGTGAAATAGGAAATTCAATTCAAATTCAACAAAATTTAAGTGTCGGAAAAAAGATATGTGGTTAATGCAAGCACCAGTTTCTGTCAATATTTCTTTATCATGAGTATTAAAGAATACTTTTATTTTAAAAGAAAAATATATCCTTAAAAGAATAGATATAATTATATAGCAGTTAAAAAATCTAAAATGAAAACAAAAGATTATTTATATTTAAAAACATATATCCAAATATTTTATATAATTTCAAACAATAAACGATCAATTTATGTCTACATCTCATTGGCTAATATATGTAACACCTAAATCATAAGCTGTTAATGCTAAATAATTTCATTTAATAAATATTACCCTAAAGCATCATAACATTTTCTTAGTAAAAATTAATTGCACACAAATACATCTATCAACAAGAAAAAAGTATTTCAAATATTATACTTAGGCAGAAAACTTCACTTTAGTCAGAATCTGAAGTAAAAAGATTACAATAATAAAGATTAAAGCTTACACTGAACATCAACTTCAATACAGTTATTATGCTGCTGAAAATGGTCAAATATCAATATTAAATACCTGGGTTTCATTTGGTAAAACCTCAGAGCAATTTATTTATAGAATTTTGCATTTATCTCAAGTACAGAAAGGCTTTAACTTTACCAGTCATAGTGTTTATTGCTGTTATTAAAGCAAAAATGTATACCCTAAGCACTCAAGATTCCTTCTTTACTGAATTATTAGTTCTCAAGTTTTAGCTGAAAAGACTATAAGAGAAAATATGGAAAAGCCAAGCCATTTAGTAGCAGCTACTGAAACCTAAGCTTTCACTACGGAATTGTCCTGCTTAAATGAAAGCAGCCTTAAGATGCTAAAATGCCTGGCTTATTTTAACGAAAAGTCTGCAAAAAATTAAGACAAGAATGTAAGATTAAACAAACAAACCTGGCAACGAAGGAGAAAGTTCATTGTATCCTCCAAACGAAGCATTCCGGACAAGCTTTCGGCCATCAATTCGTGGAGGAAATAAAACAGGCGAAACCCCCGTATATGAAGAAAATCTACGTTGTTGTGAGCTCTCTTCTTTCATGGCTTAGGTCTATTTAATGTATATGCTCATCCAGAGGCTAATTAGACCAATAGGGCAAAGATAGGCTTTTCTCTCACATCCAAATGTAGCAAAACCCACCAGCACAAACAAAGGACACACACATTTAACAGCAAAGGAGAAGGATCAGAGACTGTCAAATCAGCAATAAACAGATAGAGAAAGAACTGACAGAAAAGGCATTAAGCCATGCTGCTGTTTTTTAAAACATGGACTGATAAACAAGAAAAGCTATTACACTAATGCTTTACCTTTCTGTCACACCAGTAATACCCTGTACTGAATTGCTGCTTTAGGAAAACAAAGGAAGATCAATACTTAGAGATTCAAGATGAAGTAGTAAAGTCATTTTCTCTTCTTTTCTCAAAAATGCAAGCCTTTTACAACATGCATTTGTTTTTGTAGGATCCAGCCACACTTCCCACCTCTTCCGACTCTTTGCTTTCCAGCTTTTGCTTACTTCAAATATGGATATAAACATAACACTTTTTATCTTCTCTGAAGTGTCTAGATTTATATCTAATCTACTGCTTGCCTCAGCCATGATTAAGAATTCATAAGGTAAGATATTCTTTCAAGTGCAATTTTGATAGATTCCAACAGTTAAAGGAGAGAATAAACATTTAAGTTTTACCTCCAGCAGGGATATATGAGTCATTAAGACAGTGTTAACGCAAACCAATCAACAAAGAAGATTAAAATGACACTAGAATAATGCTGTCTGCTCTAACACACATTCCTTGAAACAGATATGAGCTGCTACAGTTCCTCTTCATTATATTTAAACTCATCTACCAATGAGTATATTTAAGCTGTTCAAAATATATAACCTACCAATTAGTACTTTCCACTTAAAACTGACTTTTTTTAAAAGCAACTTTATTATCAGAGTAACAAATGGAAATGGCTTTCTTTTACTATGGTTAAAACTAAATGGTGGTATAACCACACATCATTAAATCTGACAGGCATTTCCCTATTTTTAAAATGATACCATCTCTTTATATCTAATACTTAAATTCCAAAGAATTATGTCCTAATATATTAAAATCCATTTACCTTATCCTATCTTAATTCAAATTTAAAAGTTTCAGTCATTTTTTTCTCTTTATGTGTCCTAGCGTGATTTTTCTGATTATAATTCTTACTTTCATGCTGAAAATACACCTACTCAGCTGGACAATAATTAATTCAGTTACAAGTTACTTAATAGCTCATTTATATAGATTACCTTGCCATAAGGTCTCAGTTTTTCCTGCCTCACTATGCAAACACTTCAAGGCTGGTTCTCTAGCCATACACTTAAGATCCCATATAATCTAAGACTGTTTCTGTTTACTAGAAAGACATACACACACCACAACTCCATTTCTTGTACATGACATATTCTTTCTTGGGCAAAGGCATTTCAAAATCAATTCGTAGAAAATAAGTTTATGGTTAATACCCATAATTGCAACAAGTCTGTAGGTTTTTTGGGTTGGTTTGTGGGTTTTTTTGTTTTTTATTCTTTTCTCTGTCATAAAATGTAAATTATCATTAGCCGTAGACAATAATTATAATTAATACATGTAATGGTGCTTGCCTTTCAAGGCATAAAAAAAAAAAAAATCACAAAAGGCATTATACCAGTAAAAAAGTTTAATTTAAAATTAAATTATCTGGGTTCAAATCATTTAAAAGGGTTTTTCAAAAAACAAATCACTACTCATTAGTAAGTTGAAGAATCAATTTGGTGGGTCAAAAATAGTGTTTTTTAATATTAAAATAGAATAGGTCAGGATAAAAAATATCAGAGTGCATCCTACTCAGACATTAAAGGGCTAGCTGTTTCATGAATCCTTTTTTTAGACTTTAATATTGCTATATATTATTATGTTTTCAATAGTGATATTAAATGTATTTCTTTCAGGAGGTAACAGCCCAAATTGGAAAACACTGATATAAACAATATCTTTCTCTTGAAATTCTGTAACATTAATAAGAAATTATAAAATGTTATTACCACTTTGCTACTGAAGAGACCAATTACATAAGTTATCTCCGGTCTAGTGACTCTTTCCATATTAAAATGGTAGACATTCAGAGGCAAATACCATAAAAGGTCATAATAAGGTCCTTTAGAATCTGCTATATGCCCAGAGAAAATGCCCAGCCTAAGTATCACTTTCTACATAGCTAGAAGACTCAGACCGTGGAAGACATTTCATTGTAATATTAGAACTTTAATGTGTTATCTGGACAAATTCCAGACCACCTCTATTTTTAAAAAAAAGATGAATAGCAGGCATAGCTGATATTTGATATAATCTAATTTAGTAGTTAGAAAACCCATTTAAATTCTGTGAAGTTCCATATGCATGCTCATGATAAGATGCAATGAATTAAGTCAGGATGAAAGTACTATATAAGCTACATCTATTATCTTGACTCTCAAGATAATAAACTTAGGTTTAAGAGATTTTAAAATCAAAACATTAAAAACAACAATCAACCAACACGAATATTAAAAAGTATTAAGTCCAAACACAAAGAAAATCACTACTCTATAAAATGAACTAAACATCTAAAACCAGTACAAAAATTCAGCAGTAAGTTTCCTTAAAGAATGCACAATTCAAATAAGACTATAGCTGACACATTGGAGCAGCCCAGGCTTAGTAAACAAGTCTACTAATAATCTTAAAATGACATGTAGGTTGAGATGAGAGATAATGTCCTTGGCTTTAAAATAAGAAACATAACAATAAGACTCTTTGTCAATCTCCCTCTTCTAATACAGTAGAGTAGTTTCTTAGCTATAATTAGTAATTATTCACTGATGATTCTACGGTTTGAGAATTATACTAAGCAGTCTTATTATCCTATATTTCCTCATAAAATATCACTGTAGATTCTCCATTATCAGCATTAAATATGTTCTCAACATAAAAGCACATGTAAATACACAAACAAAATTAAAAGAATAGCTTTTAGACTAGATAGCATTCTTGTTCATATTTCCATATTCATAGTAAGATGTATAAGACAGTTTCCTTTAGACAAAATGTTCTTTGTAATTTCGTATATATGTATATAATCATTTATTCAATAAAAATTTAATGAGCATCTACTATGTGTTGGGAATTATGTTAGGCCCAAGACAGCTATGAATATAATAATCCCTGGTTTCTGTTCTTATTGACCTTTCAATATCTGTGAGTATGTTTGCTATAATTTGAGTGAAGCACAGAGACTCTGTTCCCACTAAGTAAAGACTGTTCCCACAAAGTAAAGACTGTTCAGAAAAATCTATTTAACTGAAAACGTGCAAAGCTAATAGTATCTATGAATGTAGCCATCACAATACTACCTCATAATTATAAACAATATGATTTATGCATGTTCTCAATAAATTCAAATAACAATGTGACATACAACAGGAGTATCCTTGTTTTATAGATAAGGTAATGGCTGAGAGACACATATCTAAGGTCATACAGCAAATGAGCAATAAAGCCAAAATTAGAACCGAGCCATGGGAATAGTATTTACTTTTCCTCTCCTTTTCCTACGTCAGCCAACACAAACACCAGCATTAAGCACTTTTTGGTAAGGTGAGACTCAAACACAAAGGATAAATAAGATGGGATCAGCTGTGGCCTGGCTCCAGCCTCACTGTATCATGGCCTAGTGGGAGCCATGCCTGCCCAGAGACCCACCTGGCAGAAGCTATGCCTATCAGCACCCCTGGTAAGGCTTACTAACTTCAAGCCCGACTCTCTTAAGGCAGCCCAGTGACCCAGCTTCAGCCCTGCTCTAGACCATAGCCCCAAAGGTAGTCCTGTTCACTAAGTAACCTGCTGGAGCATCCAATGGAAAAACACCCATCTGCATTCCTGATAATAGGCCTACCATCTACAGAACTGACCGAGGTCCCAGCCCCATAACATGGCTTCAGTCCTGCTCAACTGTGTTTCCAGATGTAGTCCTGTCTATCCAAGAACAAGGTGGAAACCATACCCACTCCTCACTCACCACTGCCAACCACAGACCCAACAGAAGCCATGTGACCTAGTTCCAGTCTTGCTCAATCACAATGTCAAAGGGAGTTCCATGGGTCCAGAAAAACAGGAGGAAAAGGGAAAAGGTCTTCATCTGATAAATCCAGTATGTAAAGACTGGAAGAGGCATCTGCTTCTTCAAATGCAGAAGACACTAACATAAGCCTATATGAATCACAAAAAATCAGAAAAATAGGACAACACCCCAAAAGAATGAATAAAGCTCTGTAACCTCTCCTAAAGAAATGGACATCATGAACTACTTAAAAAGATTTTTAAATGGCTGTCTTAAAGAAGTTCAGTGAGCTACAAGAGAACACAGGGAACCTAACAAAATCAGGAAAATAATATATGAACATAATGAGAAGTTTCATAGAAGGGCAGAAACCACAAAAAAAGGACCAAATGGAAATTCTGGAGTTGAAAGTCACAATAATGGAACCAAAAATTCAATAGAGGGCTTCATAAACAGATTCAATCATGCATATTTGAAGTCAGGTCACTTGAAATTAGGCAGAGAAAAGAACAATGCCAACAACAACAACGAAAACAGAATGAAAAAAGCATATGAGACTTATAAAACACCATCAAGCAAATCTATTTACACATTATAGGAGGTTCAGAAAGAGCTGAGAATGAGAAATAGGCAAAAGATTTTTTAAATAAATGATGACAGAAAGCTCCCCAATCTGGAGAGAATATCCAGATTCATAAAGTCCAAAGAACCCTAAATAGATCAAACATAAAGAGATCTTCTCTAAGACACATTATAATTAAACTGTCAAAAGTCAAAGACAAAGAGAAAATTCTGAAATCAGCAAAAGAAAAGCAACTTGTCAAATCCAATGGATCTGTAAGACCACATACAAGCATTTTCCACAGAAATCTTGCAGGCCAGGAGAGCATGGAATGAGATAGTCCAAGTACTAAAAAATAAACCCACTGCCAACCAACAACAATTTACAACATGAAACTGTCCTTTAAGAGTAAGGAAAACATAAAGACTTTCCCAGACAAGCAAAAAATGACGAAAATTCATCACAACTAGATCTGCCTTAAAAGAAGTGCTAAAGGAAGCTCAAGTTAATATTAAAAGACATTAAACAACAACATAAAAGCATATAAAAGTATAAATCTGAATGCTAAAGGTAAACATAAAAAAACCCCACAGAATACTGTAATAAAAAATGTAATACTAGTATATAAATTAGAAGACAGAATTAATCAGAAAAACTATAGCCACATAAACTTGTTAATGAAACCATATAGAAAAAAGTAAAATCTGTTATCCATTCCATAAAGTATGAAATGAGTGCAAAGTATCTGTAGGTGACTGAAGTTAAGTTCGTTATCAGTCTAAAACAGACCACTATGACTATAAAATATTGTATATGAATACCACAGTGATCTAACACAAAAAATGTACAATATATAAACAAAACATAAAGAGAAAATAATCAAAGCACACCACCACAAAAGATTATCAAATCACAAAGAAAGACAATGAGAGAAAAGAAAAGAACAATGAACAAAACAGCAACAGTAACTCCTTA